TTCCAGCATAGACAAAGATCCTCTATTTGCTCATCAGCTTTTTGAAAACATTGTTAAGTACTCTCCTTTGCCAAAGGTTTATATGCAATCTGGCCAGCTGCAATCTCCTTTCACTGATAAGCATCAAACATTCCATTTTGGAAAGAATATACCATCGTCTCAAAACCAAACTTTTGAAGCAAATTCTGCATCTCAAGGTATATTTTTTAAACAACTACTCTCAAAACAATCCTTCCGAATATTCTTTGCTTCCCGCCACATCCTAATTATGTTCATTGAAATGACAACAGCCTGTTTTGTTAGCTTATTTCTTTATACGGTTGCAGAAATCACCTCTGTTCAAGTGAGACGATCTACCAATTCTGTTGAAAAATTTGATTCAATCATGGAGGCAACAAAAAATGTCTGCTCTTGTGGTTTCTCATATGACGCACAGTCTTTTACTCGAGAGCGTTGTTCTCATCGCCGTGTGAGAAAGCAGACTTCGGGTTGGCATTTTATTTCTCACTAGCTATTTAGATGCCCTTTAATAGAGACACAACTTAGTTTGCTTCTCAATTGTAGTTTCAAAATAAATGCAGCTGCGTCTAAAAAGAGGAGGCAACGCCAAATTTTCCAAGCCGACGAAATCCCACATAAAGCTTTGACTCTTCCAGATGCTCCTGATTGTGAGCATTGTGGAGCCAAGAGGTTCCATTTAGAACCTCCTAACTTTTGCTGCTCTGGCGGAGATATTTCTATTGTGGCTCCTTCTATGCCTTATGATCTTAGGCGCCTATTTATCGAAAATGATGAGGAAAGCGCTCATTTCAGGAATAATGTTAGGACCTATAATAACAACCTGGGATTCACATCCTTTGCTGCAAAATATGATCCAGAACTGACCAAGAACACGAAAGGCATTTATACTTTTTGCGTTCAGGGTCAGGTCTACCACTTTCTTAATAGTTTCCTCCAGCCTACCGAAAAACCTTCTGGAATTCAGTTTTACTTTTTTGATTCTGATGAAGAATTAGCAAGGAGGGTTGGAAGTTCTGATAAGTTGCGTGAAAGTACTTTAAAATTACTTATGCGCATCCTCTCAAACAATCCTTATGCTAAATTCTTTAAGAATCTCAGAAATGTCCAAAACATTGACAACTATAAAATTGTTTTGAATTGTTATCCTGGTTTGGACCAGCGTGTCTATAATCTACCTACGGCCTCTCAAGTTGCTGCCATATGGACCGAGGATGATGATGAATCAGCGGACAAAAATGTTCATATTCAAGTTTATACCCACTCTAATACCAGCCATAGAATTAAGCATTACTATGGCTGTTATGATCCTTTGCAATATCCTATTCTCTTTCCTCAAGGCGAATGCGGATGGCACCATGGTGTTAAAAAACTTCGCAAGAGAAAGAGAAATGCGGATTCTTGTGAGGAAGATTTCAATGTTGATCCTTCCTCTGTTGATGACCCTTCACATTTACTTGATTTGGAACCTAGAGGCAAGTGTATTTCTTGCTGTTTATGCCTATTAGGAGTGAACATCATAAAATTTTCTGCATTAGCTTGACATTTTTTCCTTGGTTTTTATAGCTGTTGAACATGGAAAGAACGAAGAGGACACTGTATCGGCAAGGGAGTATTATTGTTATAGGTTTCAAATGAGAGAGAACGATGAGTCGATGCTACTGCACAGTCTTAGACTTCTACAACAATTTTTGGTTGATTCCTATGTGAAGATAGAAACTTCTAGGCTGGACTTTCATAGACACCGACAGAATGTTGTTAGGTCAGAAATTCTTCAAGGAGTATTGGACAGTGTCTCTCTAGGCCAAACTGAAGATTCTAAAGTTGGTCGTAGGATAGTGCTACCTGCTTCTTTTATAGGTGGACCTAGAGACATGAGGCGCCGCTATCTCGATGCAATGGCACTCGTACAAAAGTACGAAAAATCGGACATTTTCCTTACCATGACCTGCAATCCCGCATGGAAAGAAATTCAATGCAATTTGAAGTATCATGAGAAGCCACAGGATAGGCCTGATCTTTTAGCTAGAGTTTTTAGAGCTAAATTTGAAATGCTTAAGCATGAGCTCTTGAATAAACAAATTTTTGGTGAAGTGGCAGCATGCGTCTATGTCATTGAGTTCCAAAAACGGGGATTTCCACATGCTCATTTGTTGCTCATTTTAAAGCCTCAATTTAAGTTGCTCAATTCTGAGTCCTATGACAAGGTAGTTTGAGCTGAATTACCTGACCGGATTCAATATCCTCACCTCTACTCTCTTGTTGTAAAACATATGATCCACGGTCCCTGTGGAGATATGGATAAAAGTTATCCTTGTATGAAAGACGATTCTTGCAAGAATCACTATCCAAAAAATTTATGCCCTCATACAACCCATGGTGAAGACAGTTATCCATATTATAGGAGAAGGGATGATGGCAAGAAAGTGAGAATTCGCATATTCACACTTGATAATAGGTGGGTTGTGCCTTACAACCCCTATCTTCTTGCTTTGTTCGATTGTCACATGAACGTGGAGATTTGTTCTACCATTAAATTGGTCAAGTACTTGTATAAGTATGTGTTCAAAGGGCATGATCTGGTTTGCTTTAGGATTATGGCGGATGATAGTGCTACTGATACTGACGAGATTAAAGAGTTCCAAAAAGGTCGATACATTTCACCTCCGGAAGCGTTTTGGCGCATCTATGAGTTTCGTTTAAATGAGATGACCCCGTCTGTTTATACTCTCCAAGTCCACCTTCCGAATCAGCAACTTGTTTCTTTTCCAAAGAACTCGGATTTGCTGCAATTGTTAGCTAAAGTTGATTTTTCTAAGACCATGCTGACTGAGTTTTTCAAAATGAATGCAACCAACGCAGCTGCTGAAAACCTTAAATGCTTTTATAAAGATTTCCCTCAGCATTTCGTCTGGTCTTCTAAATATAAACACTGGACAGAAAGAAAGCGTCGGAAGGTGATAGGTAGGCTCGTCAGTGTTAATCCAAAAGAGGGAGAAAGGTACTATCTAAGACTTCTCTTAAACCATATTCCAGGACCAATATCATTCGATGATCTCTTGACTGTTCATGATAAAAAGATGAAGTCATTTAGGGAGGCTGCTTTGGCACTTGGTTTGTTGCAATCTGATACATATATAGAAGAAACGCTTGAGGAAGCTGCTGCATTTCAAATGCCATGTTCGCTCAGATTGTTATTTGCTACTCTTCTGGTCTATTGTTCTCCAACTGATCCCGTGATGTTATGGAGAAAATTTGAATTTGACTTTTCTAGAGACTATGAGCGGTATGAACAATATCATGACTATTCTCCCGCTCAAATTAGGGGCTTGGTTTTAGCTGATATTAACAGGTCGCTTCAGCAGATGGGTACAAGCATTGCTGCCTATCAGTTGCCATTAGATGATCTTGTTAGTATAGATCAGGTTCACCTAACAAAAGAAATAGAATCTGAAAGAAACATAGACATTCTGCCAGAAGATCTATTGATGTCTTTCAGATTAAATCCCCAGCAAAAGTATGCTTATGACATCATTCTACAAGCATGCTTTGCTTCCCAAGGACATTCTTTTTTTATTGATGGTCCTGGAGGTACCGGTAAAACCTTTTTATACCGGTCGCTGCTTGCTACTTTAAGATCGCAAGGCTTTATAGCCATTGCAGTAGCAACCTCTGGAATTGCTGCATCTATCCTACCTGGAGGAAGAACTGCACACTCAAGGTTCAAAATACCTCTTGATTTCTCGAAGAGCAGAACCTGCCAGCTTAGCAAGCAAGGCGGTGTTGCAAGGCTGCTCTCACAGTCAAAACTGATCTTATGGGATGAAGCTTCCATGGCAAAACGGGAAACTATTGAGGCATTTGATGATTTGCTTAGAGACATAATGGAATCTGAACTGCCTTTTGGGGGTAAAGTTGTTGTATTTGGTGGGGATTTTCGTCAAACACTGCCTGTTATTGAGCAAGCAACAAAGGAAATCCTTTTGCAGTCATGCTTTCTCAATTCTCCATTGTGGGATAAACTTCATAAACTGAAGTTGACAGAAAACATGCGAGCTATATTAGATCCTCACTTTTCTGACTTCTTGTTAAGAATTGGCGAAGGGCGTGAACCTGTGGATTTCGACGGTGAAATAACTTTGCCAAGAGATTTAGTCATTCCTTATTATGATAAAGAAGAGTCCTTAAACAGGTTACATTACTTAGTAACTTCTGATTTATCTACCTACTCTTCAAGGTATACAGCTTCTAATTAAACTTCTTTATGAACAGGTTACTATACTCTGTATTCCCAGATTTAACTCTCTATTCCCAGGATCCATATAGCATGATAAATAGATGTATTCTTACCCCTAAAAATAGCTCGGTTGATGAGCTGAATGATATCCTAATTAGAAGGTTTCCTGGAGAGCTTCGCACTTATATTAGTTCCGACAAAATTGTTGATCAGCGGCACCAAGAGGATTATGAAGATTTCCTTAATTCTCAGAACCCAAAAGGCCTACCTCCTCACAGGTTAATGTTAAAGGAAAATTGTCCGATTATACTGATAAGAAATCTAAATCCTGTTGAAGGTCTATGCAATGGCACAAGACTTATATGTAGAGAGCTTGGCCGGCATACTATCTCTGCTGAAATTGTCTTCGGCCAGCATCAAGGAAAGAAAGTTCTCATTCCAAAGATACCCTTGCAAACTCCTGACAACCAAAAGAACTCCATTGCATTCATAAGAACTCAATTTCCTGTTCGCCTCTGCTTTGCATTGACCATTAATAAATCTCAAGGACAAACTCTCGATTATGTTGGCATTTACTTGCGAGAGCCTGTCTTTTCTCATGGACAGTTATATGTAGCCTTGTCCAGAGTTAGAACTTCAGCTGAGCTAAAAATACTTATTGTACCAGGAACTTTTGATGGTATAAAAACGGATTGCAAAACTAGAAATATTGTGTTCAGTGAAGTTTTTCAATTGAGCCAGCAGTAGAATGTTCTTATATTCAGGTATACTTGCACCAGTTTACGTTTGTTTTACTTATTGCTATGGTCTTATGTATACCCAAACCTGTACATTATAATCATTTTCCCTTTTTTTCACAGAAATGTCTAACCTCCTGCCAATTGGGGATATCATGCCTGATATGAAAAACTGGTCTTGTATCATCACAGTTCAGGAAAAGCAACAGGTCACAGATTCTATGGGAACACCAACCAAAAAGCAAAAATTTGTTTTCTATGATTCAGAGGTTACACTTTAGAATCTGAAATAGCCATTAATTATTTGATTCTTTATTTGTTTGTCCATCATATTTGTTATGTGTAATTTTTTTTTGTCTTCTGGTAGGGCTCTAAAGTTGAAGGGATAATCTTCAATGCTGATATTCTGAGAATGAGTCCTATGCTGCAGGTTTATAAGAGATATAAGATTTCAAATGCTGATGTCAGGACTATTCCGCTAAAGTTTCAAACTGCTGAATTAACCAAACAGTGGGTGATCACTTCAAAAACTGTCATTGATGAGGTCGATGGGGATGAAGACATTATGCCTATTCAATTTGCTTTCACTAAGTTTGCTGATTTAGCTGAATACATGGATGATAGAAGCAAGTCCGTCGGTGAGTATGCAAATAGTCCATCGTTCGTATTTTTATCACACATCGTTATTTTCTCAACCTGCCTTCTTTTCCTTTGCAGATGTCCTCGGAGTGGTGATCAGTTCATTAGCCATGAAGACAATCACTAAGAACTCCAAACAGTCAAGCGTCCAAAAATTTGTCCTCCTGAATGAAGAGTGAGCAATCTTTTTATCATACTGCACGCTCTTTTATTGGCCTTATCTCATTTTTTGTATATCTTTGAATCATTTCCATCCTGCCTTTTATATCAATGTTAGGTCTCAAACTGTCCTGCTATCTTTATGGGATGATTTTCTGAACAATGAAGGTCAAGTTATATTGAATAACATGCAAAGCTATCCTGTTATCATTGGTCGAAGACTGAAAGTTAACAACTACAATGGTCTGTTAAAATGCTGTCTTTTTGAATTATAACCTTTATTTGTATATCAAGGTTCTCAATCATAGCTCGATATTCATTCTGTTGTTTATTCTATAGGCGTTTCTCTCTCTACTTGGTTCGATTCTGCATTGCTTGTTGATCCACCAATACAGGAAGCAAGACAGCTCAAAAATTGGTGCAATGACATTAACTAGCATTTTTTTATGCACCTCGTCTCACTTGTATCTTTACACCAGCCGATATTTTCCTTACACCATATTTTTTTTTGTAGGGCAATGAGAAATACTAAGTCAATTGCAGAAATCATTGATGCAAAAAGTTACATTAAATACAATCCTGCACTTTCTTTAAAAGGGGACCAAAAAACTACTCTAATTTGCAATGTTACCCCATCACAAAAGGTAATCAAGTGATAGCCTGTTATGTAATTTTATAGCTTCTTATCTGTTTAACTGTCATCTTATGAATGTCTATCTTTTAGACTGCCTGGGTCAAGGCAAAGCTCTCCTTTGAACACATCTTCCAGAAATATTGGTACATGAGTTGTGCAAAGTGCTATCAAGCTACAGCAGCAGACTACGAAATTGAATTTACTTGTAATTCATGCAAGGAGAAAGGCGCTGCTATGCCTAGGTCCTATTACTGAATTCCTAACTTTAATTCTGCTGCTTATACTCTCTTAATCTTAATATTATAAAGTGTATAACCTAAGCACTTGTATACTTATCATTCAGATGCCGCTTTGATATTGATTTGAGCGATGACAGTGGAGTTATACCTGCTTCTATCTTTGGAGATCTAGCAGAAACTATTCTCACCTTCACTGGTCTTGAAGCAATGGATCACTTTAATCAGGTTATTTTAATTGATCAAATTTAATACTAAGTACAGTATTTCCATGTCATGTCACCCTTATATCTTCTGTGCTCCTACCAGAATCTTGAGCTGCCCCTTGAGTTTGTTCATGCACAGCTTAAAACAAAGACGTTTCTGGTTCACATTAAACCAGTCCAAACACAACTCGCTGATGCTAGGCAGCGTTATACCGTTTTATATTGCTCTGAACTTGAACCACAATTTGATTGTGCTCGCTTAACAAATGAACCAAAATCTGTCTCTCTTTCAACTGACCGGCAGACAGAAAATGAGCAGCTGCTGACAGCAGGTTGATGAATATACCTAGAGTTATGATACATGACTGTGTTTTCTTTGAATCAGCTATTAACTTATCTAAGCGTTGCGCTTACAGGACACGGTGGTTCTAGCTCAAAAGTGCGCCTTCGACTCAGCCAAAAGTTTGATGAAACAGAGACTGTCGACACCAGTGACCTTGACAGTCCAGATGCTGACTCCAAGAAGAAAGCAAAATTAGGCTGAATTGCCTTCACTACTTTTTGGATTGCTTAGACATTAATATTTTTTTTGGTTCTGTCGTCTACACTTCTATACTTAGGCAGACTGCTAATGCTTTTGGAAATACTGCTCACCTATTCATAATTCCCTGGCTTTTGTACGTGGTTATCTACTAAACAGCTTTTGTCATGATCATTGAACTTTGGTAATGGCACCTGTATCAAAGTTCTTGTCCGGCTTTCAAAGATTAACTGAGATCCTCCATCTTAGGAAGCATGAGGATTTTTACAGATATCTTTGGATTCCTGACTCTGAACTCCCTTTTTGTAGAACTAACAGCTTTATAATCTATACAATGTGGGGTTCTTTTCCATTTCTTTATATTTTTTGCAGTACAATTGCTATTATCGCTTTTGAACATCCATTTTTGTATGCATACTTGTTCATTTATTACCCAAGCCTGCATTTTTTTCGAATAAAAGTTATATATTCAGTTCCTACTACTCATATGTCAGACTATTTGCTCCACTTAATATACCAAGTACATGGTGAATTATAATTTTGCCTTCAAACCATTAAAGCATTGCAAATGCAGTAATTTACATGCTGTCATTTGACAGCTCGCACTTAATGTTTACCATTGAATTGTCTTTCCTATTCATTGTTCCATACCTATCCTCTGCTGCAACTAATAAATCTTTTCAATGGTGGTACTAAAGAGCCTGCACTTAGCATTAAAGCAAATTAAAAAAAGAACTCTTTTTACATTCATCTTTTCTTTATATATATGCTATTTATCGTTTACAATATCATACATAACACTGGCACATTTTCTGCATAAGGACTTGTCAACAGGTGCATTGCTTTACAATCTATTTCTAATACTCACGAGATAGTACAGGCTTGTGCTTACAATTTCTATTAGCAGGCTACTTTTCTGATTTTTCAATTCTTCAACTTTCTTCCTGATAGATCAATGGCAGAAACAATGTCTATATCTCCAGCGAATTTCCCTCCGACAAACAGCTGTTTACCAGCTTGCTGTTTTCTACTCAAATGCATCCATAGAGGACAGGTTAACTTTTAATTCATCTTCACCTATATTGCAACATTTACAGTTAAATAGCATGGTATTCTTTGACGTTATTTTCCTGCCTCATCTTTTCAAGGTATTACCTGCTCAGTTTCAATTGTAGCTTCATCAGCATCATTGCAATAGAATCATTCTAAGGTTTGGACTGCGGCAATGGGCCATCGCAGTTACTGATCGTGCATTCGAAGAAGGATGGGATGCTTTTTGTGAACACAACATTGTTAAGAGACATGACACATTGTTACTTCGGCATAGCGGAAATCTGATATTTGATGTCATTCACTTTTGTGAGCTACAAAAACAAGTTTTATTGCCCTGGACAGTTTCCCTACCAGACCTGTTGCACATGAATGTCGTAGCATCACGAGGTCAGAATATCACTATATCTATCTCATATCCTCATCCATATCATATATAATTTTTAGCTTAACACATAATCACTAATTGCAGATGATATCCACGCATCTACTAGACAGCAGCAAGTTGCTTCCTCGCTGAGACCAAAATTCTGCCAAGATCTTTCTGATTCGGTTTGCTTTTATCAAACATTTAACTCTGCAACTCCATCCAGTTTGGTAAGCTATTCCATGTTTACCTGCATTCTCTTTGTCATCTCAACTTTCTTTCAAGCAATTTCCTTTTGTTTTTGGATATCTTCTGATCTGCGGCTTCATGACAGAAAATTCCACGCTTTATCGATCACTTCATCAATGGTACCAAGACTCCCACGTTGCTTATCAATACTGGAAACAAAAGCACTCAAATAGGTGTAAAACATAGACGCCTTCACCAAAACTGGAGAGATTTCATTCTTGAGCATCGACTGCAGCACAACGAAACTCTTGTTTTTGTTCCGAAATCCGAAAATATATTTACAGTTTTAATCTTCGACGATACCGGAGTTGAAAAGATATTTCCTTGGTATCACACATTCAATATTTATTCAAGTGCTTAGCCAATTTAGCTGAACTATGCTCTGTAATCTACCTATGAATTAAATACATTACTGGTAATTTCTGCTTATTCTTAGTTAAACTATGCAGCCGCTGCCCCGCAATCCTTAATACCTTACTTCTTGTTTGAATTCATTAATATTATAAAATTAATTACTCAACTGGGCATTACTGGGCATCATTACATTCGCCCACCGCGCATCGCGCGGTGTTATCCTCCTAGTTTCCTAAAAGCCTCTTTAACATTACATAGATATACCAATCCTTCGGTATTATATGCCAATGAAGAAAGAGTGGTCCTCACCCCTCAATTTCTTCTAGATTGTGGATTCCTTGAAAACATCTGGATAAATGATCTAGAAGACACGTACAGATTGGGGATCCATCTCGGATATTTTGCCAGAAGATTACTTGACTTTGGAGAATGGGTAAGGATTGAAATCAGATCAGCCCCAGCAGAATGGATTGGACTATTAGATATGGCACTAATAGTTCATAGAATAAGGTTAACAGTCAGCAATTGTTATCCAGGGAGATTAACTACAAAAGAAGTATAGAGATTAAAGGCAAATATTGTCGAATGTCTCTTATCATTAAAAGAACAGCTTAGAAGAAGCAGAATGCTAAATCTAGCATATAAACATTTCAAAGCAGAATGGAATCATTATAAGTTAGCATCAGAAAATAGGATTCAAAATATTTATATTCCAAATGTTTATTTTCTAGAAAAAGATTTTGAAGAGACAACGGTAGATGAAGAATTATTCCAGGGATATTTAGAAGATTACTTAGCATACGACACTCCAGAAGATTCTTTTGATCCAGAAGAATATGATACAACTCATTATTTTGAAAGCATGGGACCAGAAGAAATCCATAATTTAGAAAATCAGATGGAAGGATAAGGAGAAAGACACAGGTGGGACACAAATACCAGGCTTTGTCAATAAACAGTTGGAAGACACTTTTTTGAAACTCAAAAATTTGAAATCCGTCGGCTGAATAGATTGGAATCTTTTCTTTGGTCGGCCATATTATTTTATGGATTCAACATAATTGAAATCCGTATAGGTAGGAACATAAGTCCGGAATTTCAAGTCCGGAAGTAGGCTATAAATATCTCAGAGTTCTCATTCATCAGACACGATGAATTCTTGTGAGAAACCTGAGCATAAGAAAATCATCTTGTAAATTCTTGTGAATACATATACTTTTCTGCACATTTTTCTCATATATCCTTGATCAAAATAGAGAGGAACGGGAAACAAGAGAATAGAAATTAGTTGCAGCCAACCCTAGAAAGCTTAATCTTAAAATTTAGAGAGATACCCTGAGAGAAGATACCCTTAGACAAAGGGAGAAATCCAAAAAGTTCAAAAGACCGTGTAGTACCACTCAAGCCGTGTTAGCTGTTGAAGGCATTTAAAGGCATTCGGGAAGATCAGGTGAGGCAAAACTTTGTCAAAGGATTCGCAACTCTAAAGAATCGGAGATTTTTTAAGAAAAAGCTCAGCAAGGAAGGTATAATTTCAAAAATTTCTCTTAAAGTACCAAATCCTCATATAATAGATTGAATATTTTTGAATAATTTTATGAATTTTGATAACCAACCAACATATAATTATACAAGCACACCAGAGCACGCATATTGGTTAGCTTTAGAAACTATCCAAAGTCCCGAAGGATATTATAGTTACAGATTAGACCAAATAGAATCAGTGGAACAGTGTTTAGCAAATTTAGACATAGAACAACATAGCCTTAACAGAGTCATCCATCACGATCCACGATCATTTCTTAGAAACATTAGACAAGTTAAAGTAGATCTTTTATATCATAAATTATTTGAATTACAAATATAAGAAGATTATATAAATATGAAAAAATTAGAAAAGAAAATCATAATAGAATTATTAATAATATCATTTACAACAAAAATTAAATTTTTCTAAGGATAATATCATAGAATTTTATAGGTCTTTAACCTAAACCTTATAATTTCGGCCCATACATAGAATTTATATCATAGAATTTTATAGGTCTTAAACCTAAACCTTATAATTTCGGCCCATATATAAACATAGAATTTTATAGGTCTTTAACCGAAACCTTATAATTTCAGATATATATATATATATATGCCCTTTTGAATTTGATGCTTGTGTAAGTTCAACATCAGAAGAACTAGAACAGTAGAACCAAGGTCCATAATTGCGAAGTGCGTTTGAAAATGTGAACAAGTATAGCTAAAAGTAAGATAATATATTCCCTTTGGCACGACAGAAAAAGCCTCAACTTTCCATTGATAGCTAAAGGATCAAGATTCAAAGTGAAAGTAATGGAAAAGATGATTATGTCTAATTGAGAAAAGAAATCTACATCAAAAAGTGAAAAGAGAGAAGATTAAAGAAATGAAAGAGCTACAAAACAACATCCTGCAATCTGTATGTTGAATAGATTGCAGAGTCATTAAAGGGACTCAAGGTAAGAGAAAGAAGAAATTGTGTAAAAAAAAAAGTAACCATTTGAAGAGAAATCAAAGCTATTGAAACTTTTCACACTTCAATCATTTAAATCATTCACTTCGTCTACTATATCTATGGTATATGCCCTCTCTACTTTTGGTTAGTATAGTTGATTTCTCATTCATTTGGTTCGACTTCTTCATGTTTCCAAGTTCAAAGCAGAGATAGTCATCCGATATAGCAATTGTCGTGCATAACTTCACAATTTTTAGTTTGCCTGTCAATTAATAGATAGTGGATCAGTGGACTCTTGATCTCCTAGATGAATTTTCTTGCACTTCGTTGCCAATTGCTATGTCTGTTTCCGTTTTATATATTTTCTAATACAGGTTATCCAGTGTTTTCCATATTGGTATGCATAGTTGGCTATTTTATTATCTTCCTTTGATGATACTAAGAATAATATAGTGTAAAATGAGAGTAACTGGTCCCTGTAGTATAGCTTTGATTAGCAGCAGGTTCTGATAAAAAAGCAGAAGTCACAATAATGTTTACTGTTTACCTCCACAAAAAATTGACGTAGCACAACCAAAATGATACTTGCCCATGATCAACGAGCAGGGCCTAATTTTCAGCCTTTTTCTTCTGCTTGGTATATATAATCCAATCCCTACTTTTAATCTCTGTTTACCATAGTGCAGTAGAGCTTATTAAAGCATATGATTAAAAATTCAAGTACGGACATCCTTTTCTTATGCATTATTTTGCATGGAACTTGGCATGATTGGGGATATTTGCAGTGATAGGTATAGCTGTAATTTTTGTTTGAGAGTTTTCCAATAGCTAATTTGGTCTTTTGAATTAATAGCTAGTTTGGCATGATTTGGTCTTTTGACTTACATTTTCTTATTGTTGTCATGATTTTGAATTGCAGAATTTGGATATTGACATGGATAAAGAAGGAGATGAGCAAAAAGCAAAAAAAAGACAAGTGGTAGTTGCAAATTATATGGTAACAATAGCTACATTAGTAGTTTGGTGGCATGAGAAACATATAGTAAAGGAGTATTTTTTTTCTTTTAACTATAAATGAGTAACAATTTGTTGTCCAACATTACAGGCAAGTACTTTCTTATTGATGCGGGTTATGCAAATAGCCCCGGTTTCTTAGCTCCATATAGGGGAGTTAGATATCATCTTAGTGAGTGGTCTGCTAGTGGGAACAAGCCTCAAAATTTTAAAGAGTTATTCAACCTTCGACATTCAATTGCTCGAAATGTGATTGAAAGGACATTTGATTTGTTCAAGAAGCGATGGGCCATTTTGAGAGATGCATCTTTTTTTGATGTTAAGACTCATGTCATGATAATTAATGCATGTGCCATCCTTCATAATATTATTCGAGTAGAACAACCAAATGATCCTTACTTGGATGAAGTTGATGCTGAGATGCGAAGAGTACAACATGAGGTTGATGATGAAGGTGAAATGGAAGATGAAGATGAGGAAAATGGAATGGAAGATGATGGTCCAAATAATGATGGTGGTGTAAATGCTATTAATGAGAATCGAATTCGAACAGTACAACCAACTAGCGAGTGGACACAATTTAGAAATGCTTTAGCACGAGCAATGTTTATTGACTATCAAATTAGACAAGGCCATCATGGAAGTTGAAATTTGATAGGAACCTATTCGGATTTAATTTAATATTAGAATGGCAATTTATTAAAAAATAGTAGCAATGTATAATTGTGCTTTTCTTTCTCTTTTTTCTTTTGGCTAAAATCACTTTGTTTGCATATTCATCTATTGGAATTTCTTGTAAGATACAAAGTTCAAACATTTATAATAGGTACAAGTTATGA